GATGTTTAATACAGACACTGTATTACGGAAAGGAAAAAGATACAGGCGAATATGTAATGGCTGGCGCGCATGCGTACAACCATTTCGTTGATAAGCGAGTGCCCAAGGCGACAGCTGTTTGCTGCAGGCTGTAGCCAAAAGGCCGAGAAGGTCAGAGTAAATATACGTGTCAAAGGTCAGCGATTGTTCTGCAAAGAAAAGAGGCGGGTAGACAGAACGGAAGTGGCTAGGAGCTGATTAGCCGCTATTGTTGTTCATATTCGAGACGAATCCGTCAGATCGATCGATCCGTAAAAGAAACTTTTTTTTTTCTTTTCCTTTTGCTTCAGCCTTTAGCTTTTCACGCCATGAGCTGCTATACACCACCCCAGAGTGTTTTTCAAATTCAATGGCATGTTTCTTGCTTCATATCTTGCCAACCTCCAAAAAAGGCACATTTTCCAACCTTTTACCTTCGACCAAAGTTAGTTTTTTTCCTCTTGCAAAATATGAGCTACGAACTTCTCATCTTCTTTAATATATTTTCTTCTTGAACGTTAGAATTCTCTATAATGTTCTGTCTTTTTACTACACTCTAGAATACTTACTCATTTACGACTCTTTAATTTTGCTTTGAAGGATTTTCTGATGCGACCTGATCAATAAAATTTTGTTGAAAGGGCTGGCGCATATGAACTATTTCAGTCAGGCGAAAAGTACGAAAAATATATATATATATATAAATATATATATATATATATATATATATATATATATTATATATATATATATATATATATATTGTTGTGGTAGGATCCACCTAATTTGCATAGTGGAGTACCGACCATATAAATATGGCTGGTACCGGGAAGAGAGGAAGGAATCAAAGGATTCAACCAGAGACTCTGCCCGACTGCGACTCAGTCAACACATTCTCCAGGAACGGTCTTATCAGGAATATACAAAAGACTATATGTAAATATTGTGTACACTTTCTTGTTTCAATACATTTTGTTCTAAGTACATTTTGTGTTGCATTATTATTCCATGCATTAGTCAAGTTTCAACATATATATATATATATATTAAGACATTTTTATGTTTATACATTCTTTTTATAGATACAAATATTTAAGTAAATGCTCTGTTTTATAATAAACAGTATTAAATATCATTTACCGGCCTGAAATTTATAAAACAGACGATTTACTTAAATATTTGTATCTATAAAAGAATTTATAAACATAAAAATGTCTTAAAATAATTGTCGGACTTTGTCCTTTTCATATATATATATATATATATATATATATATATATATATATATATATATATATAATAATCGACTCTCCCGTCGAGATATATATATATATATACCTCTGACTCGTACCATTGGTCTGACTGAAACACTGAAATGCATAAATTCTGTATTTTTTCGACTGTGTTTTTTTTTTGTATTTTTGTTTGTTTGTTAGTTTTTTTTTGTTGTTTTTTTTTTTGTTTCTTTTCCTTTTTTTAGCTTTCACAATTAAATTTCTATTTCTGACACAAACTCAGTCCACACTGGGGTTGATAAGTGTTATGGGACCTTACCCATAATAACATAATGGACTATTCCATGCGTAATAAATACTGCGCCTCAAGAGGAAGCAGGGAGTTCAGAGTTCACTCTGAAGTCTGGAGTGAAGTCCGTCAGTCAGTCTGTCAGTCAGAGCGAGAGACTCAGTCAGTCGAGTCAGAGGCAGTCCGAAACAGAGTCGCGTTCAGACAATTACTACTAAACCTGATTGTTCGTACTGACACTTTCTACTTTTCTGTATATATTCCTGTTTATAATATATCTGTGTTGTTCCATACCTGTATTCGAGTTCTTCTTTATTGGTTCTACCTTGGACTATCACCGTGGTACAAGGAACCGGACCATAACAATAAGACACCTGACCGATATTTTCGTCTGCCGAAATAGGGTATTCCCCATATGAGATGATTTTGGATTTTATTGTTTATTAATTATTTGCACTGTTATAATAAATACAATGAGCTCTTTTTGTGGATCAGTTTTAATATTTTCTTTTACTAGGATCCACTTGAATTATATACCAACGGATTTGTTACCTTTACTATATATATATATATATATATATATATTAGGTATATATATTAGGTATGAAAGAAAATTTCTTGCAGTTTTTTTCCCGATTGTTGCCATCAATTTCTTTTTACTTCCTGATCCCTTAAAACGTACGAGATTGCTTCACTCTTTAATCCCTTTCCTAGACGCACAACATCTCCAAGCATATCATTCTTTCCCTATTAAATGTTCAACTGATCTTCATTCAGTTCCACCAGTTCAGACCTTTACAAATAGAACACATCATGCCACTTCTGAAGAGTCGAATCACTCTCATTTCCCACCATGTCCTGAATATTAGAAGAAACTTCAATTCTGACAGTTTTTTTTTCATTAACTGCCACTTTGTGTAACAGACTTCTTACCTGAACACTACAATCTTAACCTCTTCAAGTCACAGGTCAGCCGTAACTACCCTCTTTATCTTCATAAACTTTACTTCCTATTACTTCCTGTTTCATTCATATCACACAATTCATTCAAGAATCCACTACCTTGAGCGACCCTCGAGCCTTGTATTTGGTGAACTTTAGTATAAAAAAGAATTTCGTTTTGTAATAGGCTCTGTTCTCTGTAAAACTTTTCTTCATTTGTTATATGAAGACCTAGCATTCATTGCCATATAAGAGATTAGGCATTACATAACATATTTTTCCAAACTTAGCTTAGATGTGGCACAAGGCCGAAAGTAGGAAGGCACCCAGTGGAGATCGAACTCACTATTCAGTTGTAATTGTTTTAGCGAAACAAGGTTGCTAACCATTACACTGCCTCGAGGTGCCCAAATTATATAACTCATATATACGATCTACAGGGCGTCCCATAGAATTTTATACATAACAAAAATAAACCTTTTTATATTGAAAAAAACATATTTATTTATTTAATATGGCCTACATGACTAGTCTTCTGTTGAAACCACTGTCTTCAATGCGTGTCCTGCACTGGTGAAGAATATGTTCAAGCATGGCTGGAGTTATGCTATTAATGGCGTTGGTGACACGTTGCTCGATTTATGTTTTCTATCTTTTCCTGAAACACCATGGCCTTCATATGCCCCCAAAGGTAAGAATCATGTGGTGTAATTTCTGGAGATCTGGGAGGCCACTTCACAGGATCACGATGGCCAATCCAAGCACCTGGAAACTGCTGACGTACGTGAATATTAAATGAGATGGAGATCACTCTTGATAAAAGTAAACAGGGAAGTTCCAATCCTCGCTTATCAGGGATGAAAAAATCTCTTCTGGCAACATGATAAGATACTTATCAGTATTGAGTTTTCCATCACCGAAAAAGAAACCATTAATTCTGTCATCTCATAACCAGAAATATAAAAAAATATATAATGTTAAAAACTATGTGTATGGAAAGTTATAGGACAGCTAGTAACTCAACAGGAGACACTGTGGAGTAATGGATAGCGGCCCGGATTGAGGAATCGGAGTGCCGAGTTCGAATTCCAGTTGAGTCCATTACATTCACTTACGTGCTAATAGCCTTGGTATGAATCCTTTTCTTCTCCCCACCAGCTATGGGTAAATATCAAGACAGACCGGGTTCTACAGACTTGGATGGTAACCGGTCTAACGCGGAAAAAATGGCAACCTACTGCGGGAAAAAATCTGCTTCGTCAGTCATGTATCAAAAGATACATGACTGCCTAAGCGGGTATCACGCATGGCACATAACTGACTGAGTATCTCTAAAGATGCTGGGAAAATGGTCAGTTTCTTATACCACTTCAGTAATTCCTTGACTTCTTTTACCATTCTCTATCTTTACAAGAATTCGACAGATAAAAAAAAAAAAAAATGGAACAGTACAGCAATATATGGGTTTGGAGCTGCACAATCCGCACTTTTCAGCCTTGACGGAGTTCAAAACCATCTAGGTTGCCTCGTAGGCGATTAAGGATTTTCCACCCTACCACCCTTTTCCGCACAGACTAAACACCGCTAGCCTCTCGCTACACTGACGCTATGTTCTTGACAAATGTTCTAAACAGATACGTTCCTTCGTTCCACCAGTTCAGAGCTAAGACCCACCATGCTATGTACACAGGGGAGAACCGTCCTCATTCCATTTATGTTCCATTAGTATGAAAGAACTTCTAATCGGGCGGGTTTGTTTTTTTAACAGGCCGCTACTTTCTGGAAGAGACTTCTCGGACAATACAATGTTGACCTCTTCAGATCTCGATTCATCCATTATCTACTTCCAACAAATTCATTTAGTAACTACTTTGAGTGGCTCTCGGGCCTTGTATTGAATGAACAACAGTATAAAAAAAATCCAGCACTCTTCTTCATTTGTAGGTATATTTTTCAGTCTCTTAATACATTATTTAATTTCTAAAAAAAAAATGCCTTTCATCATTTGTATTCAAGGGATTACGGCCAACTCACGTTGAAACATTGGTTTCCCGTAGGATCACTGAAGTTAAGCAACGTTGAGCCTGTTCAATGTCTAGATGGGTGTCCGCTTGGTAATATCAAGTGCTGTAAGTTTTGATGTACAGACGGTGTAATTGATAATGGCTCGGAATTGTTAATCGGAGAACCGAGTTCCAATTCCAGTTGGGTTCGTTGTATTCATTTACACGCAAGCACCCTTGAGAAATGTATGAATCTAGTTCTTCTCCCCCAGCCTTGGGTTAATTAGTAAGAATTGTATCACTAAGTCATTATTTCAAAAACATTTTACAATCTAAAAATATTTTCTGGCTTTAAATAACCTACAAAAAGAGGGATAAACCGTAAAAATACGAATCAATCAAATCAAATCTGTTTCTATTCAGTTTCGGGTTTTTAAGTGACATTCAGTGTTAACCCTAACCCTACCCAAATAGTTGAATTTATTGACATTCCCAAATTGCGACTCAGGTCTTACGACTGTAGCCTGTGGAGACACCGGTTCCCCTACGATTACCGAAGTTAAGCAACGTTGAACATGGTTAGTACCTAGATGGGTGAATGTTTGGAAATATCAGGTGCTGTATACTTGGAATGTGCTGCTGGTGTAATGGATAATGGCTCGGAATTGTTAATCGGAGAGCCAAATTCCAATGTCAGTCGTTTTTTATGAAGTTTCAATATTTTGAAATCTAAAATATTTTAAGTGTCATTTAGAGTTTATATTTGTTTAACAGCTCCTTTCCTTTTCTTCTTCGTCTTCAACTTCATCTTCATCCTCTTCTTTGTCTTCTTCTTCCTCTTCTTCTTCTTCTTATTATTATTATACTCCTTCGTCCCCTTCTTCTTCATCTTCTTCTTTGTCTTCTTCATCTTCTTCTTCTTCTTCTTTGTCTTCTCCTTATTATTATTATTATTATTATTATTATTATTATTATACGCCTTCTTCGTCTCCTTCTTCTTCATCTTCTTCTTCTTCATCTTCTTCTTTGTCTTCTTCATCGTCTTCTTCTTCTTCGTCTCCTTCTTCTTCCTCTTCTTCTTTACATGTCTTTCTCGCAGAAAGTATTGAGTTCATTCTTTTTCTATGATTCGCTCACATCTTGAATCCTATATAAGACGAACCCTGCCGAAATTCGACCCATTGTCCTCTGACCTCGAAAAGCATCGTTTCCCTCTTGTCAGCGTTTGTTGAAATGCCAAGTGGTTTAAATTTAACAAGCCTTTGAATAAGAACAATTAAAAGCAGTACACCAGAAGGAATGGGCTTTATAAAAAAAAATTGTTTTTAAAAATTAATTTCCTTATTTTTTTATTTTAAGTTAGAATTTTCTCTCTAAATATATATATATATATATATATTATATCTGAACTCATATCCAGTTTTAAAGAATTAAAATAGAAGTTGATTTCTATTCAAAGAAGACGGCAAAAATAAAGGGCAAATCAACTATGATTTTTATTTGAAAATAATTATTTACTCTACTGGTTTTCTTCCTTCCGATTGTCTGTGAAGCGGGATCGAAACTTGTTCTTATTTAAATTAATAAGCGCAGAAGAATATTTCAGAACCCCCTTATCCCCGGGGGTTGAATATCTCCCAAGAAATTCAGCGGATACCTGAAGCCGCGGATAATAACCAACTCTATAGCGAGTTACGAATGTGTAACTTAGACGTGGCGCAAAGTCGATTGTGTGAAGGCGACTAATTCAGTCGTAATTAATTTACCAAGACCAGTTTGCTAAGTATTACACCACATTGTAGGCGTAGTTTAGGTGTGGTACAAGGCCGAAAGTATGGGGCTCCCACTGAGGATCGATATCATTATTCACTCGTAATTAATCTACCAAGACCAGTTTGCTAAGCATTACACCACATTGAAGTGCCCAATATTGGGATTTTCTAGGCGTAGTTTAGGTGTGGTACAAGGCCGAAAGTATGGGGCTCCCAGTGAGGATCGATATCACTATTCACTCGTAATTAATCTACCAAGACCAGTTTACTAAGCATTACACCACATTGTAGGCGTAGTTTAGGTGTGGTACAAGGCCGAAAGTATGGGGCTCCCAGTGAGGATCGATATCACTATTCACTCGTAATTAATCTACCAAGACCAGTTTACTAAGCATTACACCACATCGAAGTGCCCAATATTGGGATTTTCTAGGCGTAGTTTAGGTGTGGTACAAGGCCGAAAGTATGGGGCTCCCAGTGAGGATCGATATCACTATTCACTCGTAATTAATCACCCAAGACCAGTTTACTAAGCATTACACCACATCGAAGTGCCCAATATTGGGATTTTCTAGGCGTAGTTTAGGTGTGGTACAAGGCCGAAAGTATGGGGCTCCCAGTGAGAATCGATATCACTATTCACTCGTAATTAATCTACCAAGACCAGTTTACTAAGCATTACACCACATCGAAGTGCCCAATATTGGAATTTTCTAGGCGTTGTTTAGGTGTGGTACAAGGCCGAAAGTGTGGAGCACTCAGTGAGGCTCGAACACACTATTCTGTCGTAATTGATCTACAAAGACCAGTTTAGTATGCATTACACCACATCGAAGTGCCCATATATATACAGCAGGAGACAAAAAATGGATCTACCCATAAAAAGTCGATATTTGTATTTTCACCAAGAGTAACAGAATTCAATTATTAATACAGGATATTAGTACAAGTGTACATATGTACATTATACAAGTCAAAAAAGGATTTTTAGTAATCGTATTTTGTTCGGTAACTTTTTGCTTTAATGCCGGCCTTAATTCTTCGTGACATGCTATAGACTAAATATTTTAGTAAGTGTTGTGGAGTGATTTCACAGTGGAGGCTTGTATTTGTACTAAGTCGGTCCTAAAATAGGTTCGACGTACAAAACGTTAGGAACTTCATATAATAGGGATGACGCAGAGAAATCTAGTTGTGGTCACTGATACTTTAGTATCCGACTAACAGTCGTCCGGCATCGACTGACTCACCGAACCCACTGAGCTGACTCCTACTACTCCTACTTATTATAGGTGGGAGAGTCTATTAACAATAGAATAGGTGTGTTCCACTATAACAGTAAGTCAACGTCTTTCGCCAGATTTTTTGAAGCATTCCTTTAATTTGCGAAAAGGCTCGTCTTCTGTGTTAGCTTTCCTATTACGGGCACACTTGTCTATTATCGGCCAAAGGTTTTCAATTGGGTTAAGGTCAGTATTCTGACTAGGCAACTGGAAGAGTTGAAATTACTAAATTGATTTACTAAAGAATTTAGTCAATAGCATGCCACGAAGAAGTAAGACGGTTATGAAAGCAAAAGGTTACCTCTAAAAATACTAAAACAAAAATTGACTGGTATAATGTACCTATGTACACCTGTATTAATACCCTGTACTCATAAACAAATTCCATTACTCACTCTGACTAGGCCACTGGAGAGTTGCAATTATCCTCGTCGCACTTGCTCTCTAGATTACGTTTATTCTATAAGGCAGTGTCGTTATCATTTTGGAACGTGAAGCATTGACCTTGGGCAAAAGGTTTTTTTAGCAAAAATAACCGAACGAATTCTATTACTCATTTGTCTTGGTAAGAATACAAAAATCAACTTTCTATGGGTGCGTCCACTTTTTTTTGCCTTGTACTACATATGTACGTACTAGAAATTCGTTTTCGTGCCCGCATGTCTTGTGGCGTACGGTGGCCGTTGATGATTAAATATAACTCAAAACTTCTATGTTAAAATAAAACAGGATTTCATTACAATCGCAAATAAATATTTAACAAGAACAACGAACTAAAAGTCAATCAAAGATATTCAACCATTTCAGTGAATACCTTGTTAGTAGCGCGGCTCGGCTTAACGTCCGGTAAATCCTAAATCAAAACCCAAACCATCGACGCACAATAATTCACACTAATTCAACTGAACAGTTCCACTCAAAAGTCTCTCAATAATCACTTAATAATCATTGCAGTCAGTAGCCTGACACCGCTACTTATACACCTGGCAGAAAACATATTCATAAGTCCCAATGTCACGTTCGAACCTCTGTGTCGGTGACTACTCATTTTTTCTTTATGAAACATTTATCTGATCGTTAATTTACTAATTTTTGGTTGTATGGATTGTTGACACTAGCTATTCCCACTCCACCCTCCACCCTCCACCAGATAATATTTACAGTTTTCGGATTACTGAAAGCTGACACAGTTTTCCTTATTTTCCATGATATTTTTGGTGTATATATTTTTTTATTTTTTAGTTCTCATATATGTTTAGAACGAGTTGTGCTGTTCGCATTTTTTACTATTGGTAAAACATGTGTTGCGTGCGTAACAAAAATATTAGATTTGTCACTCATATAGCATTAAAAATTTAATTCACCGTTATAAGATTAATAAGTCGAATATTTTTTTCTATTTTAAATAGGACTGACTATAGCAAAAAACGTAATTCCATCCACAATAATACAACCAAATTTAGGGAACTAAATAGGCCTTTGTGCAAATTAATTGTAGGGACATGATCACTTGCATCCTTGTGCAAATTAACTGAAACAAAACGAATAATTTCGTTATTATTTACTTTTTCGTATTTTTTCAATGAAACATGACCCAATTCACATGTTAGTACTTCATATGTCCATTCCACAAATCGATCCTTGCAGATTGACCCTAGATTGTCGATTGAATTTAAAGTTTAATTTAAATTTAAAAATTTTCCAAGCCAGTCGATAGTACTTTGATTTGATGACTAGTATAGCTTACCAGTGTGTTTGTGCAGCGTTACAATTTTTGTACGCCTCCTTGGAGTAACGTCCATCGCTGACAATGGCCGTAGGACAAATAATCGACAGTTGAGACAGTAGTTTCTGGGTGTGATTACAATCTGATGCAATCATGGATTACGCAATATTTTTAAGACCAAACAAATTTCATCATATACCCCAAGATTCATATTACTGCACACCACTGCAAATGAACTAATCTGAGGAAAAAATAGAAATCGATTACACCCTGTTACTCCAGTGGGTGTAAAACTGACTGTATGGTGAAAGAAAGGACACTAAAGTGGTTGTTTCAATTAATTTACACAAGAGTGCAAAAATACAACTAATCTTAGACACAAATAAACTAATTTCAACTAATAATGTGGAAATAGGAGCGTTAAAACAATGTTGTAGGTGAATATTATCCCGGCTATTTACACGGAAATTTTAAACTCCATAAACCAAATCCTGCGTGACCTTTTATAATTTCTTAAATTCTTACTCCTGTAATTTTTAAAACAAGTTGATCCAGTCATACTTATCAAATATATACAGCGTTATTTCAACCAACAAATTCCTTTGAAATATTACATATATATCTGTAGTTATATCTGTAGGTAAATTAATGTATGTATATGCAATTTATTATATTTCCGAGCAGGAAATGGTATCAGAAGTGCGAGACTTGGCGAATCAGTTAGCGGCCGGAAGTGTTCATTTTGAAATGGAGGTGTCACTTCAATTAAGAAGCCAATCAATTGTTTTTCGTGTGCAGCGTGAGAATGAAATTTGCAGCTGCGACGATTAATTGCTCAACGCC